GACCTCTTTGAGAAGGCTCTGAAGCCGTCCTGGATGTCTTTGAAGTTCAGTCGGGAGCTTGACAACCGGGAGTGGGTGTGCAGAGTACCATGCTCCCCCGATTGGGTGGGGGTTGTCCCGATGCATGGCATTGTGTTGGCTCGTCCCTTCGCATGAAGGTTTCGGCTTTCAGGGTGTGTGCAACGTGGGAGCTGACTTGCGTCGGAGGCCGTCCAGGGTATTTCGTATTGCTTGCCAGTGAGGTCCGGACCATGTCACGGCATCCATGGAGTTCTCGCAGGCAGCGGCTGTCAGGAACTTCACTTGAGCCTACCCAGCTCGATGCAGGCGGCCACCCAGTTTAGGGCGGCCAACATGCTGCAAGAATCTGCGAAGCGCCCAGACATCAGACACCTTCGGGTCGATGGAAGTCAGAACCATAATATAAGCGATTTTCATAGATATTGGCTGGAGTGTTGACTCAAGATCTCCTGGCATCTCCCCTTCGAGTCTTACCACTCTGACGATTCAAGGCCGATGCCTGGGCCAAGTCGGGTGAGATGAAGGAGTGGGAGGGTGCAAGGGCAAGGGCAAGGGCACGCATTAGGCGCGGGATTTTGATTAACAGGAGCAGCTGCATGATCTTTTCGGAGCCGGCAGAGCGTGCGCCGAGAGGGTCTAAGAGCTTGCATCGGCTGAAGGCACCTTTTTTCAGTCCTGGAAGGTACGAAAGTGCCGGTGGTATTTGTGATGGAAGTGGGCCCGATGGGGCAGCAGCGGCCATGAGGCACTGGCAGAAGGCCGTCCGGGCGACCAGACGCTGCAAGGGGGGCCTGCAGAGCAAACTTTCAATCCCTCAGGCCGTGCAATGCTTTCGCGTCGCGGGCAAAGCGGATGTGGCTGCAAAGGCCAGACATGACTAGAGTTGGTGCATGTCAGTGAGAGGTCGAAGAACATACGCATCCCCTATGACATTGTCCTAGATTGTTGAGTGCATGAAGCTGGACAGGACAGTAACTTGCATGCACGTGGCCCTTTACAAACATGATCGAGTGTTTGCGCGATTGGTCCGCATCTTGCTCTCCCAGCTCCTGCTCAAGATGGCTGGGATCAAGGAGAAGCCCTGCCCTCAGCGTGTCCAACTGCCAGGCACATCAATCTAGTACTTCGACGGAGTCGCACTTTGCAGCACCAGTCTAAGCTTCGTATTGACACCCTGGACACTTCCCAAAGTAGCGCCGTCCCATAGCTGAAGGGCTTAGTAGCTGAGTAGGCAACCTTTAACCTTTGGGGTTCATATAACCCTGCCATGATTCATCAGGTTAAGCTTTTTCGGGGCTAGGGTACTCAGCCCCTAAGAAAGTTTCCGTGCACCCTAGGATGAGATTTAAGCTCTTGCAATACCAGTGGCAGCCATATGGAAAATCCTGGTAACCACTACGTGGTGGAGGTCTTCGAGCACTTGCGCTCCTGTCGGACGTGTTACCTCAGGCAAGGGGACATCGAAGCTGCGAAGAGCGCCTTCCAGGCTCCCGCCGCAGCAGAGCCAACTTAGGGACGAGTCGTTTACTGTAGAGCCCCTAGCTGTCGCCTTGCTCAAATTCCTTGCCAGATGCTTCCAAGATGATCTCAGACTCGTTTTCGGAGTGTTTGTGTGTGAAGCTGGGCAGCTCTGCCCAATCGCCCTACTGTACCATCCTGGCTTGGGCTGCTTGATTCTAGCAGGTAGCATTCTGGTAGAGTCTATGGCCTCTCCAGTCCACGGGATGCTTTTGGATCAAAAGCTACAACTTCCGTACGTGCTTCAGTCAACTTACGCCGATAGTCTTTCGGAAGCTGTGGATAAGAGGCGTCATCATTATCATCATCGCCATGGTCACCATGGTCACAGCCCTCTGCCTCCTATGCGCCGTTCGACCATAGATACGTTCTTCATGTTCGCAGACAGGTGCAGCAGCAAAACAGATGCGCCAGTGGTACTGTTTCAACCGGGCACGGGCAGAGAATGGCAGCAACGAAGACAGACGAAGCGTGAGCCGAGTCTCGAATCGCCAGCAGAGGGAACTTTTAAAGACCGGAGGTCGCATTACAACCGTGACATTCAGAAGCAGGCCGAGCCTCCGAGCCGCCAAGTAGTAGGTCGTAATATCCGGGATCAGGAGTTAGAGAGGGAGTGCCAGTGTGCGGCGTTCGATAGGATGCCCTCGGTTTGTACGAGGACGAGGAGAAGGCTTCTCAGCACTGTGCACTGCTCCTGTGAGTGTTTGCTGTTTTTTTCTTCCCATCTTTGGAGCTTGGCGGTTCTGAGAGCCGAAGGTTTCAGCGACTGGGATACCTCAGACTTCAGATGCTGCTCCGCCAGTTGCGTGCAGGACTACGAGCTGGGAGATGTGTACAAGACGTTCGGGGGCCCGGGGTCTACCACAGTTTCCATGACCTTCCGCGTCATGTCTTATGCCGGGAAGCCCTCATTCCCGCCAAGCTCCGGAGGTACATCGGCTTCCTTATCCGCTCCGGTGCACTCGAGGCTCGCGGCTCGGTCAGTGCGCATCCGCCTGCGCAAGACTGGCAGATTTCGCCGATAGTTCCCGCTTTGGAATGGATGGGCGCTTGAGTGGAGCCCTCGACTCGATTTCACGCAGTCAGACCCTCTTTGCTCCTTTTGTCGCGAGGATGCCCTGGTGGCCATGGACGGCCACATCGGAGTGCCCTTGTGTTTGAAGTGTCGGCACAAGCGCACCGTGGGGATTTGACAGAGTCCCCGCTCGACTTCATGTCTTGCACGCCGTAACTATCCGACAAAAACGCAAACTGTAGAAGAAAAGTCGCGGGCTCCACGAGGTGGGACCTGCAGCTGTTTGTCATGCTTCCTGAGGCCAAGATGTTCTGTCGCTTTTCTAGTTCACAGGGACTTGTTCGTGCATGTTGCCTTCCAACTTCCATCACGTTGATTACCGCTCGCAAAGTTGGCACTGTGCTGATTCGTCCGAGTGTTTGAGAGGTACTCAGCAGACAGAAGAGCCTCCCTTTCGCGCACAAGGCACGAAACTGCTGCAGACTTTGAGTCTTGCACTCTGCTTCGCGGCATTCGGATGCTCAAACTCCTGTGCCAAGATCTGCGCTTGTTGGGACAAGTGCATTTCAGGAGCTGCTGTCGAAGATCGTCTTATTGGGGCAGCTGGAGGCCTTCGTACATACACCCTGAGCACGCTGCAGTTGCATGCACGCTATGTGCATACATACGTACATGTACATACGTACTTACGTGTACGTATACATACGTACATATGTACGTACAAACGTACATGCATGCTTAGAAATGTGCGCATATACTTTTACGGATGGATGGATGGATGGATGGATAGGTGGGTGGATGGATGGAGGGATGGATGGATGGATGAGCGGATGACTGAACGGATTGATGGATGCACCAATGGATGGATGCAATGTTTACAGTGGGTATAGTCTAAGTGTATGTAAGGTACTAAGTCTAAGTATGGTTTCCATGAATGCACAACGCATGCATGCATGTATGGATGGACCACGTATGTCTGTATGGATGTATGCATGTACGTATGTACGTACTTATGGATGGGTTCACGTGCGGACGAGTTGGTAGGTGTGTATGTATATATGTATGTACATGTGTTTGTTCGTCTTTCTCTCCGTCCCCTGGTCTCTCTGTGTCTCTGTGGGTGCGTGTGTGTGTGTGTGTGTGTGCATGTCTTTCGTGCGCGTGTTCGGACGTGTGCTTTGCATGCAGCCCCGCACCTTCAGAGCGGATGGCATGCTTGCACACAATGCTCTGTAGATCGGTTTTCACGCTTACAAATGCCGAGGCACATGTTTGAATGCACACAAGAGTTCACATAGATCAGTAGCACTACATCCGTTTACATCTACATATTTCCCTCCTACCTGCCACCCACCTACTTACCTGTTTACCAACGTGCCTATCCATGCATCCATCTATCCATCTACCCACTTGTTTACCTATCCGTCTATCTATTTAGTGAACTATCTAGCTATCTGGCTACCTATCTATCTTCCCATGTATCTACATGTACAAATGTGCATGCTACAGGTCTACATACATATATTCATATATATATATATATATATACATATGCAGGTGTATATATATGTATATATATATATATATATATATATATGTACGGACACACACACACACATGTGTGCTGGTCTCTGGCTGTGTTTCAAATTTCGACATTTCACAAACAGCTTACGTGTACAGGTGCAGTGTGTTTATATGTATCGTGTACTGGTGCATTCGCATAGGTATGTATATACAGATGAGTGTATATGTATACTCACATATGTAGATAGAGTTTTGGATAGGTATACGTGTAATTACAGGGTGTCTGTATGCGCACACGCAGGCGAACGAGCAACCGGACGTGCAAACAATAATGGCCTAGACGCGTATTCGCTGTTAATGACTGTATAGCTAGAATTTGCGGGGTATCTCCCAGCCCTGCAGGACACTGTGAGAGCAGATGACATCCTGAATGCCAGTCAAGTGGACGGCGATGCGCTCGGCATTGACTTTGACAGTCACAACCGGGGTGTTTTGCTAGCATTGCATGTGAATCCAGAAGTGCAATCAGGCATCTGTTTAGCTTACTTGGCTCGTGCAGCGGCGCCGTCAGTGTTCAGCGAATCACGGGTCATATCATGCCACCACATATATATGAAAGTGCGGATGCCTGCGGCTTGGGGTCCAATGTTCTTCGAGGACCTGTCTGGACCCAAACACGATGTTGTTGAGCAAACTTAAACCAACACTTCTTTCCACGAGCTGGGGTTAAAACACCGTAGGTTGCGGTTGCATCCAAATGCACAGTTTCCCAGTGCATTCCAGGAGCGTTTCTACAATAGAGTCTCCAATGCATTCATGTGTGTATCAGTACGCTACATGCATTTATATGCATGTCTTTATACGGCAAGCAAGCAAGCAAGAACACGCGCTTTCCTAATCTTTTAACTCCCTGCTTCACACGATGGCCGAGCAAAGCGCCATGGCGACCCTCGGCGACGAGCACCGGCGAATAGCAAAGGCAGCCTGTTCTGTGTATGATCTCCAGGCCCACTGATGTTACGGTCTTAAGATTTTCGACTTTCAAAGTTGGACTTCATGCGCGGTTTTTTTTATGGATTTTTAATCGAAGTTTGGTTGTCAGGGCCTTGAACCGTAGCTATGAACCACCCGCAGGTGGACTCAGATGCCGTGGTAGACTCCATGTATGCGACTTCTTGCAAGTTCAGCGATCCTTTGGTGTTGGTTTCGGGCCCTTCCCACGTGAAGGCCCAGTTTCGGTCTCTTCGAATGCTCTTTCGGGAGATTGATTTCCATGTGGACGGAATCGGTCCTCTGGGCGAGAAACTGGTGATTGAGGCCACCGTAACCTACGTGCCCAAATTCATGCCGAGAGCCTGTGCCTTGAGGCTTAAGCAGTTTACGACGCTCACATCGACAGCGGGGCGCATTGTCTTACATGGTTATATGTGTAGCGGTGAGTGTAGCAGAGTGCATGTTGAGATACAGGTCTTCTGAACAGCAGGCCGTTCTCATGATAAGATTTGTTGCTCAGGAGGGTGGCGTCCCTCAGGCTAGTTTAGGTGGAGGTGGTGAATGTCGCGGCGTCGACGAGGGGGTGGCGTCCCTCCCGTACCACTGCCTAGCCTAATCGATGGAAGCTCAAGCAACGAACCCAATTTCACATCAGCCTTAGAGAATCTCGACGAATACATATGTTTTGCTGTCTATGGTGATCGAGGCGAGGACTTGGGCCATGCCATAGGTCAGATAAGACAGCGATTCGAGAAGGATTCTGAAGGCGCCTACTTGCAGCTGGCATACCTAGGCTGCAGCGATGAGTATTACCAATGGTATGTAAAACAGGAGGGGAAAAGAGATGGTCTCCCTGCTGATTGTTACCACCATCTTTGTCGTCGCCATGTCACGCGCTGCAGTCGGGCTGTGGGGGGTTCTGATGTCATTCACGTTCAGAAATGGAGCCCAGTTACAAAGCAGGAAGCCCATGACATTTTGACTGCCTGGGGATTCCCAGGGTTGCCAGCTGATCCTACTCCGGCACATGCACATCAGACCGCTCCGAAGAGGAAAGTGAAGCGATCCACCGCAATGCAGGCTCTCCCAGCTGCAAAGGCTGAGGAGGGAGAAGAGGATTTCGAGGACGATGAAGGTGGGGCGGAGCCTGAAACCAGGCCTCCACTGAAACGGTATCGGAAGAGGCATCAGAGCGGTAAGGAGGGGATACGGGGGGCAGTGCTGGACGCTATGCTCGATGAGGATATCGAGGTGAACAGTCCCAGAGGCCCCTCGAGAAAGATTGAAGATCGCTTGGATGCCTTGCGCGCCAAACTTCAGGGTAAGCAGGCGGAGGCGAAGGGCAACAAATCCGCTGGCGCCGTACTTGCTGCCCGAGCCGCGGAATCGAGTCAGAAGCCTAGGAAGAAACGGAAGAGTGGCGCGAACGTCATTCGCCAATTGAGGAAGGCCCTTGTGCCTGGTGTCAGCCAGGGTTCCAAGGGAAAAGATGAAACGGATGACGAGTCCGATGAGGGTGACGATGACTTGGATGACGATGATGTGGCAGTGGTAGGGTGGCAAGCCAAACGGAAGCAACTCCGGAAGTTGGCCGAGGACAAGCCAGGAAAGCTACTGTTGACTACACTCCAGGGCTTGCATGAGCAGCTTGGTGCAGCAACTGGGGAGGCTAGCGATGATCCACTATCACCCATCATGGTGCGGTACCTTCTTACTATGGTCATGCCGAGCTTCCCTTCCAAGCTCGGTGGAAGTGAAAAGTATCGGGAGCTCCGAACCTTGTGTCAGGCACTCGACTGTCTGCTGCGTGGTAAAGTTGATTCTGCGGGAGACATCTTGGTACAGCGCTTTAAGAGCCTTGTTATGGGATTGCGTGACGGTACTGAAAGGTTCGGACATTACCTAGAATTGATCCCTGAAGAGTCGCTCGGAGTCACAAGTGATGAAGCGTTCTATGCGCGGGAATTGGCAGTGAAGGCTGCCAAGAGCGAAGCCATGTTGAAGTGCTAGGGACTCCGCGGGGAGCACGGGCAGGCCAACCCGGCTCCTTATCGCGACCCTTCACCCCACAAGGCCGAAAGCGCTCCCCAGCATCAGACATTAGCGCCGAGCCCCCGGAACTCTCCCAGTCGACCTCCCCTCTTGAGGAAGAGGGATACCCCCACCAAAAAGGAGGACAGGCAGGGAGAGGATCGCCGGGTGACGTTTGCAGACGAGGCCCAGAACGAGGACAGGACAACCATGGGACTCGCAGAGGCCAGGGCTCAGACACCGAGGAAAAGCGGCGAGAGTCGCAAAGCATGGAAAGACCGGATATTCAAGACAGCGCGGGGGCAGCAGTGAGCAGTTGTGTTGAGGTGGACCCCGGTGGCTGCCGGGGTATTCCGGGTGACAGCCCGCGGTTTTTTAATCAAGAAGGCTGTGACGATCGCGCGTGTACAGCCCAGAGTGGCGGCTCGGGGAGTGCGTCGACACAGCTTGCTGTTGAAAGGCTGCTGCAGTTGCTGCATGTTGATGATGATTCGGATGCTAGACCTCGCATGTTGGCGCTATTATCGCAAGGATTGCCTGAAACTCAGCATGTTCTTCAGATGGGCATCACAGCTTTGCAGCTCCTGTTTTTGAGTCCACGAGATGGACAGCTCATTCAGACATCATTGCGTAGCATGATGAAAAAATCGGTCACGCCTATTGCTCGACAGAGGGATTTGCTACCTTTACCTCTGCCTCCGATAGGAGCTGCTATTCAGGTTTTGGCCCATTGTTCGAAAACATCGGCTGGCATGCTGTTCTGGAACCCTACGAACGAGCATAAACGACATAAGCAAAAGCTGTCCAAGATTGTTGGAGCCGGGTGCATGCAGTTGTGGAGGCTGCTTGTGGTTGTTGTTCTGAATGGTGAGGCTTGCGGCTGGAATTCCCCTTTGTTTCCACCCGTCAACAACGCCGGAACCGCAGCGCAGAGAGCTGCTCTTCGTCATCTCACTGAGCTCGTTGATCACTTTTGTCGCTGCCCGCTTGAGCTCCGCGAGGGGAAGTCTTTCGAGGACATTGTTAGGAGCAAGGGCTTGGATTATGCTGGTGAGGAGGTTCTTCGGGCACTACCGGTCAGGCTGGGAGAGATTGCTCCTGGGCTCCCGGCGGACGGAGTGGCTGGATCCCTGGAGGCAACGACGGTTGCGGCAGGGAGGGTGAAGTCGTGGCTGACGGACCCCAGTCTATGCTTGCTCCCACAAGATCAATGGCCTGACCCATTGCCCAAAGCTTCGATGAATTGTACTCGTGAGGATTGGCTTGAAATCGCTCGGGTTTTAGTTGCCAAAAACATCATGGAGCCAATCAAGCGTGAGGAGATCTTTCGGGTGCGAGGTGAGTTGCTTCTCAACGGCATCTTTGCCGTTGAGAAAAAGGGGGTGCCTGCCCCTGGTGAAACCAAGATCACCCGTCTGATCATGAATTGCGTGCCATCAAACTCCATTCAACGGTTGATGGAAGGTGACCTTCCAACCTTGAGCTCATCTTCCCAATGGACGGCGGCGTACTTACACCCTTCGCAGGTGCTTCTCTGGTCCGGAGACGATCAACGGGGTGCCTTCTATGCGTGGAGGCTTCCAAGAGCTTGGCGGCGATACCTTGCATTCCGATGGCCGGTGCCAGGGCATGTGGTAGGGCTTCCGAGTGAAAGTGAGGTCTACCTGTCCTCAGCGGTGATTCCTATGGGGTGGTTGAACGCCGTGAGCCTTTTCCAGCATCTCCACAGGCAGCTGGGTCTCTCCCCGCCGCCCGCTGGTGCTGGACTACCAGCTGAAAACGAATGGCGTAGAGATCGGCCTGTCCCAGCAAGCGCCACATCACTCAACGGAGGGTGGATCCAGTACTACTTGGATGACTTCGATGCTCCGGAATATGTTGGCAGGGAGCAGTGGCAACGCTTGCGTGGAGTATCGTCGTCCACTCACCGTCGGCAGCGTGGTGCCTATTCAAGGCAAGGGGTTGCGATCTCTGAAGACAAGTCGCACGTCCGTGAGTTGTCGGTGAATCGCATGGGTGCGCATGTTGATGGAGATAAAGGTTTCGTGAGCGTTCCGTTGCAAAAGTTGTTGGAAGTTGGTTGGATGTGCATTTGGACACTTGGGGAACGCTCCATGTGTGACAAACCACTGCTTATGCTGCTTGGAAGGCTGGTGAGATGCTTCGAGTTTAGGAGGCCTTTGATGGGGCTTCTGAATGAGGTCTGGCCTAAAGGCAAGTGGTTCCTCCGGCGAAGCCTCAAAGCTCCTGCTGTGCGTGAGTTGCTCCGTGGATTGTCATGCTTGCCTTTAGCTGTCAGTTCACTGCGTACTGAACCCAGTGGGCTGGTCACATGCTCCGATGCCTCACTCGACGGGGCAGGCCTTTGCGCAAGTGCAGGGCTGACGCAGGAGGGCAAAACATTGTTGGATAATCTCGAGGGTGGCGATGTGCCCGCTTTCAGACCAACAGGGGCCCTCGAGTTCAACCGCGGTGATGGGCCGCGTGTCTTGGTGGTGTCCCTCTTCGACAGTGTCGGTGCTGTTATATGTGCATTAACAAGACTCCCCTGTCAAGTCATCGGGTATGCTAGCTCAAGCATTGACAAGAAATGCAAACGCCTCCTGCGAAGACGATGGCCCGGAGTTATTGAGCTTGGAAACATTGAGAACATTGACAGCAAGTGTATTGAACATCTCCACAAAAGCGTGAATCACAGACTGGATGTTGTCATTGTTGGAGCAGGGTGTCCATGCCAAGCTATCGCTGAACACGGACAGCATTCGCAATTGTTCTTTCATGTTCTTCGCGTTATACAACTGTTCAAGCACGTTTTCGAGGTCCCGGTGCACTCGTTTGTTGAAAACACCTTCAGCATCACGACAGAAAGCCGCCAAAAATTTAGCAATATCCTTGAAACAGAGCCGCTATTGTTGGATGCTAAATGGCTGTCTTGGTGTGAACGGCCTCGTTTATTCTGGTGCTCATGGGATGTTCAACCTGTTGATGGTGAAGCTTTGATTGATCGTGGTGATTACCGCGAGCTCAAACTGCCCTTGACGCGAGGTGACCCTTCAGAGTGGTTGGATGCGGGTTGTGTTTGGAATGGCAAGAACCATGGTTGGCTGCCTGCCCTCACGCGGCCCAAACCCCGGAAAACGCGACCTCGTGATCCTGATGGGTTAGCAGGCGCTAGTGATGATGCCGTGGCCCGCTGGGAACAAGATCAGTATAGGCTCCAAGTTTGCAACTATGAGTCCGATGTCATGGTCAGGGGCGTGGATGGTGCTCTTCGGCTGCCTTCGCCCAGTGAGCGTGAAACACTCATGGGGTTTGACCGAGGGTATCTGAGCAAAGCCGTCAGTCCCAAGTTGTCGCATGACGAGGCTCTTGATCTGGTTGGACACATGGTCGGCAACTCCTTTCACGTGCATGTGGTTGTGGTTCTATTGCACAGCCTGCTTGTCAATTTTGGTGTTGCCGCTGACCGCGATCTAGTGCGCTTGAGGGCTTCTCAAGGTGATGCTAGTGCCGGTTGGTTGTTGCATCCCAAATTCGTCGCCAGAAATGTTGAAACTTATGACACGGCGAAACTAGTGCTCCATTTCATGCGACAAGCAGAGCGTGGCGGTACTGATGTTCGGCTCGACGTCGGTATACCCTTTCGCATACAAGCATGGCCACGTTCGGGCATCAACTCTTCATTATTTCATTGGTGTGTGATTCATGGCTATCCATGGAAACATGCCGCCCACATAAACGTACTGGAACTCCAAGCTGTGACGAACTCTGTAAAGTGGCGGCTTCGAAAATTTCAGGGTCAGCCTTGTAGAGCTTTGCACCTGATCGACAACCAGGTTGTATGTTCCATCGTCACCAAAGGACGCAGCAGCAGTTTTCGCATGCGAAGGAGTTTGGCTCAATTGAACGCCCACTTATTGGCATCAGGACTCGTACTCATAATCGGGTACGTGTCGACAGACTGCAACCCCAGTGACATACCTTCAAGATGGGCCGGTCATCGTGCAATCTCGACCAAAAAGCCGAGCGAAAGCAGGCTCGATCAAAGTTGACTTTGAAAAGTCAAATGGTCTCAGGTGGAATGCAAGCCAGATACCGCAAAGCTGTGTTGGTATTGCTTTCATTTTTGGTTGAGTCGAGAATCCAAGTGACGGCTTGGCATGATCTTGATGAGGCTGTCTCGGCTTGGCTTGAATTCGCATACTCGGAGGGCGAAAGCAAATCACTTGCTAGTGACGCGCTGGCAGGGGTGCAATACTTCTTGCCTCCGGCAGTTGGCATGCTAAAACACTCGTGGAAGTTGGCTAAAATCTGGCACCGTCTGGAGCCGCCACTACGCGTGCTGCCATTGAGCCCAATGCTGGTCTTTGGTTTCGCCGGTGCTGCCGTCGGTATGGGTTTCATCCATGAAGCTGCTGGGATCATGATTGCATTTGATGCCATGCTGCGTTCTGGCGAGCTCTATGCACTCAAAGTCGGCGATGTTAAATTTATGAGAGAACGCGCGGTTCTGAATTTACATCAAAGCAAAGCCGGAAAGCGTACAGGACACTCAGAAATGGTGGTTGTGGAAAGCCGCATGGCCTTCAAATGGCTAAAGCGTGCATGTCTGAATAGGCCCAAAGCCGCGCTCCTCATCGAAAGAGGCGCCGGCTTCTTTCGTAAGCTTTTTCACTCCCTGTTGAGTTTCTTCAAAACTGAGGGGCTCATCAACGTCTATAGCCTCAGACGTGGAGGAGCAACTTGGGATTTTCTCCACCACCAATCAATGGAGCGTACCCTGCTCCGCGGACGCTGGGCAAGCACGAGCACTGCGCGCATCTATCTCCAGGATGCCGCTGCCACCGTGAACCACCTGTCCTTAACACCTGATCAACGCCACCTGGCAAATTCCATGCTGCAGAAACTAAAATCTTGACGGCCGCAGGCCAGAGCTGGGTGAGTGAAGAGGCGGAAGCTAGACGTCGCTTGTTTAAACTTCGCTCGCGCGGACTCCCCATCTGATGACGGTCAGTTGCGGACTCCCCTTCTGATGACGGTCGGTTGTGTCGAGCTGTCCAGTCCGCGTTTAGCTCCCTCTTGTTTGCTTGCACTGCTTTAAAGCACGCAAGTGTCAGTTCGTGTGGCATGCGCCACAAAAGCTCTCTGGCGTGGCTGGAAAAGATCAGACCGATGAAAGCAACATGGTTATATGTGTAGCGGTGAGTGTAGCAGAGTGCATGTTGAGATACAGGTCTTCTGAACAGCAGGCCGTTCTCATGATAAGATTTGTTGCTCCCACCCTACCCTCCCAGTGGATTCAGTTCCGTCTGCGGGGAAGAAGAGGCGGAAGCTAGACGTCGCTTGTTTAAACTTCGCTCGCGCGGACTCCCCATCTGATGACGGTCAGTTGCGGACT